GTCTAAGAGTCCTGACGGACAGGTTTGGACACCCTCTTACCGACAATGAGACGATGGAGAGAGTAAATTAAGAAACTCCTTAACCCTGACCAACCACAGGAAGACTCGTCTGTAGAACAGCATGGAACGAATATTACTACTTCTGTAGATGAATTCACACAAGCTATGAAAAGTTTGAAAAGTGAAATTGACGAAATCAGTTTTGAAAAGCTTAAAGCATCAGGCGAACAGGGCATGTGCTGAATTACAATTGTCTGCCAAACTACAGTGGCTACGGGGATGACACCAGCTAAGTGGAGAACGGGGTTGTAGTTTTTCTGTTCAAGAAAGGAGAATATAATGAGCGCTCTAATTATCTGGGCATTACTTCATTGAGACTCCTAGGTTAAGTCTTTGCAAGGGTGCTAGAAACGGAGTTCCGCGGAATAACTGACTTCACGATATAAGAAAAGCAAGGTGGATTCCGGGCCGGTCATAAATATTCGGTTTAAGCTAGATTGTTGAGAAGTCGTTTAACTTCGCCCATCCGTTGTACCTGTGCTTTGTTGACGGAGAGAAGGCACATGACCAGATCCTAAGTAACAGTCTACGGTCATGCCTGGGAACAGATGGCAATAATATATAGCGAGCACAGATCCAAATAATTTCGCAATTTTTGAGTTTTCTATTTGTCTTTCGAAGGTTATGGCAATAAAAATATGCCACCAACGCAATAACATAGACTAACCTGGAACCAAGCTTTTTTCTCGTTTTACAACAGATCAGTGACAAAATAAACAAGACAAAAATAAATCTCTTCTTATTTTTCGGCCAGTGTTTCAGCGATATGCAACTTACATAAATTCTGTGAAGCGACCTGAAATAAAGAGTAGAGGAGAAATCAAAACAAGTATTAACGAATGAAGGCGATGACAAACATTCAGTATAGTATAAATTTGATCAACAAAAAAGTTTAGGGTAAACGATAAGTTACCTACGCCCCGTCAGACTGACATAATTCTTACCTTTAAACTGTGTTCAACATAGGCGCCAACTTCAGCGGCAGCGAGGATTGGCTCATGCATCTTTGGGGGTGCAGGAAAACGAAAAAGTTTGTTGAATTCCTCATCAGTTGGTAGAGGAGGCTCACCTTTAAGGCGTCTCGCTTCGTTTTCGGTTTGCTGAAAGAAATTAACGAGTTGTATGACGACCACAGTTCAATAGAAACGTTCAAACTTACCCTTTTCTGCATCCAAGTCTCTTTGTTTAATTCATAACGCTGCTTCGCAACTACATACCGATTGTATTTCACGATCTCGATATTGAGCGCGTCCACGTTTGCCATGAGCATTCGTAGACCTTTCTGAATACTGGCGCTGAAAAGTAAAATTTGTCAATGACAATCTAC